ATCCTAGTATCTCTTGTTTGACCGATACCTTTTTTACTGACCTGTTTTTGTGGACGATAAAAGCCCCGAAAAGGCCGTCCTCTCGCTGCGACATGACGTGACCGTGATACCAGTGAGTCCCGGCTGGTTCCGCCTGTAGGAAGAATTAAAAGTAGCCTGTTACCGAGTCTATGATTACTTCACACAGCTACAGCAAATAGAGTCCAACAGATACTTAACTCGCGAAAGTACTTAAGAAAACGGAGCGCACCTTAAATCTATAAGTGAAGCTCTTCCCGGGTAGGATGGGGTACTGTGTGACGTAAGGCACCCATGTGACTCACACCGCGCATGTGCAGTCCGTGCACATGGAGTGACGTCACTTCCTTGTAGAAGTGATTAATGACCTTTAGAACAACCTGCAATGACAGAATGTAAAACAAAGACACCAATCGGAGTCCATACATTTCAACGTTTCAAAATAGGCTGTAGTACCATTTTTGCCAGGGGGCGCTCGGTGAGAGTACTGCGTTTTTGTAATACATTTTGTATTAGAACTAAACAAAGACGCTAACTCGACGGACAACTTCTTTCGCATATAGACTGCAGTATCATTTTCATCATAGGGGGCACTTCATGTTAGATGGTGATCATGAAAGACGACTTAAAAGACTTTTTGAGGAACTTATTTACTGAAATTACAGCCTCATGTTCCAATATGAGCATTAGTTATAAGTATGTCTTGAGAAATACTCTGCATTTGCTGGCAAATGTTAGTTCTCTATCCATCAGTCCCTATAAAAAGGTCAGCGTTTACCTGCGCTCCTTCCATGACCTCCAGTGTGGGGCCGGGGAACTGGTCGTTCACGAGAATTACGTTTCGCTGCACTCCATCAGCTGTGATGGTCTCTTCCACAGGAACTATGGGTCCGTCCGTGTCTACCGCCCACCCCACGTGAACCTTCACTTGGACACTTCCATTCCTCAGGATTTCTACCTGTTGAAACATTCCTATTTATCGGATCTATAGTAGTACACTTTCTGAATACAAGGGTAGATTTTATTGCAAGTGTGCTTGTAATAGAAGATAAACATCTCCACAAAAACTGATTGTTTGTTTGTTTGTTTGTTTGTTTGTTTGTTTATAAGTTTGTTGGATATTTAGTCACGAGGGGTTCCTTTTTCTCAATATACCAAATAGTGCAACGTACGGTGGCGCTAATTCATGCTAGGTTTATATGTTTGGATTCTAAAGTGACTGGGCGGAGATTGGGTTTCACTTGAATGACGGGGTTTTGACCTGGTATGCGCTAGTTTCAAGGATGTGGTCGCAAGGAATGTATGAAACATAAACAATCGTGTATGTAATAGCAGAGTAAGTTTCATCATGCAATTGTGTAATTCATTATTATAAACGCACGCTAGCTAACGTTATGTTATAACTCCTTCCCGGAAGTACGTACCCCGTTGACCATGCCGTCACTTCCGGTGTGAGTCATGGTCCTGGCGCGGCGAACCACCAGGGTGAACTCGCACACGACATCAGCGCACAGCTCAGCCGTTGCCATGGAAACGCAGAGGAGCCATCCAAGGATCAACCTCAGTAGCAAGTTCATCTTTGGTCTTGACGTCAGAAAATGAAAAGAGGAACACTAATGTCTTCACAGGTAAGCTGTCAGAAAAAGGCCTGTACTTATATTACACCTGTAGTTTGGTGCTGAAAGAAGTCTAGAGAGGTCTAGCTTGGTTACCATACCTATTTTTCATACGTGCGTCCTCTTTCGTCCTCTCCGCAAATAGCGACAGATTCATACTCAATGAGGTATTGCCTGACAACAAACGCCACGCCCACTTTAGGCAACTCGTCTAAACTAACAACAGACTTTTTGTAGCCTGGATGTCAGACTGTTCCAGGGCCCACACAGGTCATCTCTTCCAGTCTAAGGCCAACATGCCCCAAATAATATTTTACCACAACCCCCTGAGTTTAATATAATATATTTTAATAGATCCTGAGTTTGGCTAATAAAAGCCCATGTCACACATCCACGAATTTGGCCTCCCGAACATTAGCCGAACGCCTGCCGACCATGGTTAGGAGTCCAGGGTCAGCTGACGTTCGTTTCAAAATGTTTAAAACATTCATGGGTGTTCGGGAGGGTTGGCTTGTGTTCGGCTGGTGTTCGGGAACGAATTCGACTGTCGTGAATGTGTGACAGGGCTTAACTCTGCGTATTTGATATACAGGATACAGTATTCCCCCGAATCAAAGGGGTTGTATCGCCTCGGTGCTGCATTTATATGCCTGCCACCCAGACTAAATTTTTGCCGACTAGCTATCTAGCGGTGATACTGACCAGACGTGAGCTCAGGGAGTTGAATATTATGATGTATAGGTGGGTTTCTCTTTGTTCCAACGAGTCACAGATTTGCGCAAAATGTACTTAGTCTCAACTTTCTGTCTGTCAACCTTCGCGGGTGGAAATTGATATTTCTTTATCATCGTTCGCCGCAAAGTTGCTCCATTCCTCGTTTAGCCTTGGAAGTTCTGTCACAAACCACAGCTGGTTATCATCAACTTCACAGTGTTCACGGTTTGTTGTGGCCTGCACTTGACCCGGTGTAAATGTCTTCATTCATTCATCTAGAACCATTCTTCCAGAAAACGGTATCAAGAAATCATCGGAAAAGGTTGTAAGGCGTGTTGTAGAAACGTATTTGTCTTCGTTTCTACCTACACACAACCTTCCCAGTCGAAGATGACAGTCAGTGTCCGATACACAACAAACACATCGTGTATTAATTATCTTGTTTTTGCTTCCAGTTTAAGAAAGTTACTAGTCCTTACCTCCTTTTTCTTCTCGGTCCAAGAAGCTAGAGCTAGTTGAAGAAACAGGAATAACACTACTAAAGTAAGTCAATCTCATACAGCCTGGTGTCCCAGGATCGACCCCAATCTTGGACAATCGCTTTTCTTCACTCTTCCCATAATGCACTGTTTAGAATCGATCGCAAAACGGGCATGCGGCAGATTTTACGACAGTTGTGATTCTAAACGCGCGAAAGCAGCTAAAATCGCGAGAAAAAGGACGGCGAAACGCGAGAGATGCTGGCTGAGTTGTTCGGAAGATATCGTACCAGCAGTACCATAGTAAGTTAGGCTTTGTGAACAAAACTGAGGAGAGTATTCAGAGAAGTTGTTTTTATTGGACTTTATTGTATGTTGAAGAAGTGTCAAAAAGTCTTACGAGTGCGAATATGGGATTAATATAACATCCTGTAACCATTGAATACAAACGAAACATGCAGATCAATGCAGGCAACTTACTGCGTTGTACATTGTCCAATATGTTTCTCTGTGGCGTGGATGTCTTTCCCGATACCTTGATACAAAGATTACTTCAAATTCTACGATAAGTAACAGAAGTAGCGGTATTCTATCCCCAACATCTGCTTGGAGATTAAACAAAGAGACACCGTTGGCTAAAGTTTAACCCAGTCAGTCTACCAGAGAAGACAGGGACTCAACCAGAATGGGGGTACAAGTAATCAGTTTGCTGCTGACATGTGTTTTGCTGAACGTCTATCCCACTTTCGCTGTAAACAAACTGTTGGTGGTATTAGTGGACGGTTTGCGAGAGGACTATCCAGCTAGGTACAGTACACAACTAGATTGAATCGCATTTTAACCGTGAAGGTGTGAAAACACGTTTGTTTGACAAGTAGGCAAGTGGCCGCCTCCTTCTTTTTTTGAATGTCGTTTGCGTGAAAAAAAACACACACATAAGAACGCCCTCTTCTAATTTATTTGTGTGGTCATAGTCGTTCAATCAGAACTATAATAACGGAAGAAAATCGTGCGAAAACAACTGTGTGATCATGTTGTGTTCCGTTTTTTTTCTTGCTCAGAGATCACCTCCTACTGCAGTTCCAAGCTATTACGAGAGAGGGCGTGAAGGCACAGTATGTCACACCGGTGTTCCCTGCCAAGTCGTATCCCAACTACTATTCCATTATGACAGGTATCTACCATTCATTATCAATTCGTCTAATACTAAACCGCAATGCTTAGGTCTCTAGAAAACTGCACAGATCGTAGCGTGTTGTTTGAGGATGTTTAGTTGATCATTAACTACATATGACAGCGTTCCAACAACTGTTTTGTGTACATTGTGTTGTCTCAGTATTTGAAGCACGTACTGATATTTATTCGGCCCAGGCATGCTGTCAGATGGACAGTTAACAAGTGAACTGGTTATGTCAGCTCTGTAGATACCGTGCTTGCTTTGTTTAATAGCCTACAACGTAGACTGGAACTTGTGATAGCTTTAGTCCGCATTCAACTAGCCTGGATCCCAGACTGTTTTGGGATCAGCCCAGATTCTAAATGATGGGTTTCTATCGCAAAATTCTTTTTCTTTGGAACATGTTGGCCCTGGAGCTGTTGCTGTTGTTCGTGACATTACATGGAGCTAAGGCCCTGACAACAGCCTGGCATCCAGGCTATGTACAACGGTCGCTTCCCAGCAGTCGAACTAGAAGCGAACTGAAGCTACCAAGGCTGGGTTCCAGGCAAGACCATGCTTGATACATGTCCAGATGTGTTTTACTAGTATGTCCCAGCCTTGAACTTTTGTATATTACCCACAATGCATCACCCGCCCTATTTGGTATTCATCACTTTGGTGGTGACCGTTAATTTACCGTTCAATCTTCGTCACTCGTTCCCAGGTCTCTACTCAGAAAGTCACGGCATGACGGGTAACTACATGTACGACTCCGAGAGGAACGTGTCTTTTCTGGTCGGCTTCAATCAGGAGTCGTTTGAGCCCTTCTGGTGGGAGAACGCCGAACCGCTGTGGATAACTGCCACTAAAGCGGGCAAGAAGGCTAATATGTACTACTGGCCAGGTGAATCACCTGTCATGCGTTTGTTTGTTCGTTCGTTTGCAAAGTCATTTATTCCATCTTTCATTCATCTCTTTCACCATTCTCTCTTTTCCCTTCCTTCTACCTTTTTGTCATTTCCTTTCTCCCTTTTTCGTTTTCTTTCTTCCCCTTCCTTTCAGCATTTCTTTATTTCCCTCTTTCCTTCGATCCTTTTATCATCTTTCTTCCTCTTTTCTCTTCTTTCCTTCCATCCTTTTATTTCTTTCTCCGTTTTTCCTTCTTTCTTTCCTTCCTTTAGTCATCTCTTTTCCTTCTATGTTTCTTTCATTTCTTTCATTTTTTGACAATTTTGAGTTGCCCAGTCAGTGAGTGAACTAAAACGAGCGTCAAAGTAAAACATCACTTTGTTCCCGTGGAGAAACAGATAAGTTGAAAAAAAAACATCCCTTACACCACGATAACTTCTGAACTGTCCCTCAGGTTGCCAGGTGACCATACGTAACACCGTCCCGAACAAGTGTGTGGAACTGACAGACCTGCCCTCTTACGAGAACATGGTGAACAGCATCGAAGAGATTCTGCAGCTCTTTAGTGATGACGCAATTGACATGGCGGGCCTGTACTACCAAAAGGTCGACATTTGGGGTCACAGGTGAGTTGCGAGAAAACCCAAAAATAGTAAATATGCGGTTTTCTGCTATTCTCGGCCAAATGAACTGTCATGCAAGTCAAAGTCGCTAAAGGGCGCGCGCATTTGCCAGTGCGTTACATTGTCACGTTGTGTACTGTTTCACGGGGTACAACCTACGTCACGGGATGGCCAGACACATTCGGTGGTGGGAAGGATCTATCAGCCGCGACGCGCAGACCCTTTCGACGCGGGGCGGAGAAATCAGCCGCCCGCGCAGACCAATCAGCCGCATCGCGCAGACCAATTCGACGTCACGCGGACCTATCAGCCGCGCGCGCGGATATTTCAGCCGTGGGACGGCGCTATCAGGTGTCTCCCAGCTGCTTCCAGTGACCGTTGAAACACCCACAGCAAGGTAGGTCCTCCACAATTTCCTCTTCTGGCGTTATATAGAGACAGCGACTGCTTTTCTAACTAGGCCTATCAGGTGGCGGACTATCCAAGGGTCATCCGAAGCCAGAAATAATCGGCAGGTCTTAAAATTAAATCGAGATATAGGGAGCACAGTCCAACATCGGCGACACATCACGTCCATATTATCAAGGTAAACAAACGCCAAACACAGCATTTTGGGGCCATTAGAAGTAAATAAATCCACAGATACGACTTGTTGGCTGTAATTGGGTGTCCAGAACAGCATAACTGTACTCTGGAACCGATGTAATGAGCCTGCAGTGTGGAAACGTGAGGTGGAAGTGATACCGCTATAACGCCCCCCTCCCCCATTTTTAGTACGGACCACGTGTAGTACGATGTTAGTTCTAAGACGCAGTAACTTTATCTTGGTAACACTGGTTCTTTTTTATGCATCATAGATATGTTGTATTCATTTAAAGTTATCAATTATATGTATGTTTATGTTGACAAGTTTATTAATTTTCCTTTTAAATCTCTATTTCAGCCATGTAGTACAAGTTTGATGAATAGAACAGGTTAGTTACGTTACCTGTGTCCACACCTGTTCTACTCAACATCCCCAGTGTTGGAGATGGAGAACCACCTGGCAGGCCCAGTGTTGGAGATGGAGAACCACCTGGCGGGCCCAGTGTTGGAGATGGAGAACCACCTGGCAGGCCCAGTGTTGGAGATGGAGAACCACCTGGCGGGTCCAGTGTTGGAGATGGAGAACCACCTGGCAGGCCCAGTGTAGAAAAGGACTCTTCCAAAGGCAAAGGACTACGGTGCAGCCTGTGTACACATGGCAAATGCTACGCGAACAGCAGTTCACTAGCAGAACATAAGCGCCGATGCCACGGGGCTGGGAAGCCCCCAGCATTTCAATGTACGTTGTGTGACCTAAGCTTTGTTTATGGTAGGGACTTTCAGAATCATGTGGCTAGTCACGAAGGGGAGAGGAGATTTGCATGTTTAGTGTGTGGGCGAAAATATCTCCACAAGTCAAGTTTGTATGCTCACAGAAGAGTCCACGACCCTGATGGACATAAGTGCCTCACATGCCACTTCTCATGCCATTTCTCATCTAAGGCCAAACTCCAGGAGCATCAGGCAACCCATTCCGGAGCCCGTGAACACCAATGTAGAATCTGTCATAAACTGTTCAGATACAGGAGAGGTCTGACCACGCACCTCAAGCATGTTCATTTCCAAGGCACTGTTGAATCACCACAACAGTGCCCAGTTTGTGAGAAGGAGTTTAAGTGCAGACAGTATCTAAAGAAGCACGTGACGACAGTGCACTCTGAAAGGAATTTTTTGTGTGATACTTGTGGCAAATGCTTCAAATCTAAAGAAGTCCTGAAAAGGCACCACAAAACACATGAAAATCCAAGATTAAAGAAA